AAGACAACCATTACGCCAATACTTTGACCAACAGTGACATGATGAAAATTCATAAAAGATTTTTCTGCAAAACTGGGTTGAACTGCAGGATGTGTTCAATTTAGGGGGAAAAAAAAGAAGTTTTTTTTTTCAAATCATCAAAATGACTTCATTTGTCATTGTTAGAAACGGTAAAAACAGAAAGAATTGTCCGATTTTCAACTTTGCAACAGTCCTTTAATTGCTTTTCTGTAAAAACATGAACCAAAACTAGTCTTAAATCGTTGTATTTCATCAAAGTCACATTTTCATACATGTCTCATTACAAATTCGGCAAAAACACAACAATTTGCGTTGTAAAAATGTTGTAAAAAATAAAAAAAATCTGCACTCTTTTGTGTAAATGACTCTCAGATGAACTGCAGGCTGTGTTAAAACAGCCTCTAAATGTAAGTTGTAAAATATCTACAATACATCGAGCCGCCAGAATCGGTAACACACGTGGGAAATATTGCACATGCTGACTTCAGTGTTTTTGCGATTTTTTTGTAAAACAAATAATAAAAGAAATTCAATTCTCCTTTTTCTTCCTGTACGATTTATGACATTATAACTGTGTCAAACAGCACAGATGACATTTTTGAGTTCTCTCAGCGGGTAAACACCCAACGCCACAAAGAACATCAGTGTTCATGGACCTAAAAATGAACAAGAGCAATAAAAACCGTAGTTTACGATTATTCCTGCAGATTCCATTCGTCTTAACACGCTCAAAGACGGGTTTTTATGATCATCTTAGCCTTAAGATGCTTCTGGGAAACAGAACCCTGTAGCTTTATTCTCTAGTTCATTTTATTGTCCTCTCGTTCCGTATTGTTCTCGTTTTTCGGCCCAACCTTCCCATTTCTCCGCTTTAATTGTAAATCTATAAATCCTCCCTCCCTCTTTCCTGCCGTCTGCGTTACCTCTGTCTCTGCCGTTTTCTATTTTCAAACTCCCTCGTCCACTCCTCCTCCCGGCTCCACGTCTTTTCTTGCTCTCATTTATTTCTCTCTCCCAGTTCATCACCTCTCTGTTGCAGTGTGACCTAATGACTTGGCAGCTGTTGGCCTGTGTTTGCAGTTTTCTGCCATTTCAGAGCTGGACCGAGGACACGGCTTTGAAGCAGCCGGCGAAGGACGCGGCGCTGGAAACGCACACGTTTATTCTTAGATTTAAGCGGGAAAACGCGCCAAAAAAAGATGAATACCGACACGCTAAGATGAGGCAAAGACCCTTTAATCAAGTGCCTCTCGTCTTTTTCTCCTACGCTCCCCTGGAAGACAGATTTTTTTTTTTTTTTAGTCGGTGGCAGGTAAAGGAAAACCTGGTGGCCAACCCTGTTTGCTTCACTTCCCCACACGAGCACCGTGACACATGACTGGCAGGGAGACATGGGGAGCATGTAGTACTTGTACGAGGGGGATTGGTTGGCTCGGCGATGAGGAGGGATGAGGAGGATGTGATTATGATGTATTACTCCCGCTTATGTCGGTGTCCTAATAAACTTATATCTCCCGTGTAACTGGCTGCGCCCCTCTGAGCCGCACACACAAATAGAAAGTGTTTGATGGAGCTCCAAACACTGTCGAGACTGATTAGATATTGTGTAATAGGTAATGTTGTTGCTGTGTTATGTTTAATGAATATCAATATGTTTAACCCTCTGAATCCTAAAACTTGTTTTTTTGGTCAAAATCGCCCACGTTACACTATTCACAGAGCAAAAAACTGTAAAAACTGATCAGATTTTCAACTTTTTGACAGTCCTTGAACTGCTTGTCGGTGTTGTTCTGTTAGAAAATGAATCAAATCCAGCCTGACAACTGTTGCATTTCAGCAAAATCTGTTTTTTCATTTAAAAATGTACCAAAAATTAACTGTTTGCATTCATCAAACATTGTTAACAACCACAAATGCTGGGCTCCTTGGTGCAACCACTAAGCCATGACTGACTCAACTACGATTAACAGTCACGTGTCAAAAAGTCAGAATTTTTTCAGGTGAACTGCAGGCAGCGTAGAGCAGATAAGAGACAAGCATGGAAATAAATAAAAAACGTAACCAGTGAAACATCTCTAGTATGTAGAGTCACCATTTTTCACAATACTGGTAGCAGTTGGATTTTTTAAAAAGTTTATTTTTATTTTATTTCATTGATTCCATTCTTTTTTTTCTTTTTTTGTAAAACAAAAAGGCAAAGAAGTGTACTTTTTCTGTCTTTTTTAACTTATTACAAGATTAGATCTTTGATAAACTGCACAGACTATATTTTTTAGTTCTCTTTACTTCTAGTCAGGGTTGTGCTGTTTCCATAGAGGTGCAGGGCTTTATAGTGTAGTGACAAATGATCCCACAGTGGGTAAAAATGTGACAGGAGCAATAAGAAAAAGCCCCAAACCTTTGGGGTTCAGACACTTAATGATTATCAGTGAAGTCAGGGACCGTAAATCAGATAACCTTAGTTCGCAGATTTACTGTGAGCAAGGCAAAATGTTATTTTTTTAACGACAAAATGAGTAATTAAACCAGCTAATCAAGATTTTAATGCTGAGTTGTGACAGTTAGTGACTGGTGACTCCCAGCGGTAGCATCAAAAAACCCTGCACACTAATTCCCTCTCTGATCGAGACCTCCAACCTGGAACACTGAGATGAAACGCTGCAGCAAATCCCACCATGATCAGGATGATTAAGATAATTCTGCAATTAAAAACCGTCTTTAGCTGATTTAGAACCTAAAACGTTCTGAGTTGACAAAAAAAAAGAAATGCTGTTAGACATTACAAACTACATTAAAAACACTATTTTATCATTTAATTAAACATTGCACGGACAAACCTCCACGTCTGTATGTTAAGTACTGAGCTAAAGCCAATTAGCTCAGCTGAGCATCAGGGCTGGAGGCGGTGGAATCAACCCAACGGGCTCAGTCCAAAGTTCAAAAGTACAACTAACAACAGTTCAAAGGCTCATTAATTAATCTGTAGTTCAGTCTGTAATGGGTTTTACGGGAGATTATGAGCCATTACTTAACTGGGAGCAAATAAACAAGATAAAAACCTGCTGATCGGTGAGCTCTGGAGGCGCTGGCAAGAATACCGCGTTATCTTTTTACATAAAGTGACATCAGTCGGCCCGTTTAACCCTCAGCTAGAAGGCGAATGAGCGCATTTCCCTAAACTGAAATCCTCGCATCATGTCACGTGTGGAAATTCTCTTGAACAATGGAGGTAAAAATCCTCTTAATTTTCCCCAATTCAAATGTTGACAGACTCACAATTGGGGAACTTGTTTGATTTGGATTAGCTGCTAAATCAGCGGTACAGAAGATTAGGAACTGCATTAGACCATCTGGTTCCTAATAAGAAGACTAAGCTATGAGCCTGTGTGCATAAAAACCTTGAGGTAGAAGTTAACTTCAACACCCGAAGCGCATTTTAATGGGACGCATCCAATCGGCAAGTTTAAAATTCGGTCACGTAACAGCGAGAGCGAAAGATTTAGGTGTTTAAAAAAACGCAATCTGCAGCTTAAATTAGATCAAACTTGCCATTTTTAAATTAATTCTGCAGTTTTGACAGTTTTTCTTCACAATTTCAACAACGTTTTACAAAGTCGTGCCTCTGAAGGGTTTCGTTTTTATTGAATTTTCAACTTGGTTTTATTGGTTTTATGCATTCAGCAACCAAACGAGTCTCCATCAAGCAGTCAGTCGGTTGAACCAGATGCAAGCTAGTTAGTCCCAAACGGAACTTTGTATTGTTTTGCATAAGTTTGTTTTTCAAACCTGACGTCCATGATGGATGCAGTTTTATGTTTCAAAGAGTTTTTGAAATGTAAACTAGACTGTATGAACTGATCAGTCAGCTTTGGACCGTCCAGACTCTTAGTAGTTGGACCACAACACATTCAGTTTGAAACAAAACCATGAAGTCTGAGGTTTCTGATGAATTCTTTTAAACTAGAGGTGCCCTGATCAAGTTGTTTTTGCTCTCAATCAGTCATTTAATGCTATGATTTGATTTCTTAAATATGGTTAAAAGTTGCTTTTGGGCCAATCTAATTAAACATATAGATAATAAACATGAATGAAATTGCTAATGGTACCAGTCTTCATAAAAGTATTTAAAAGACTAGGAGTTGGAAAACCTTAAAACTCTTGTGTCCCAGGAACAATATCATAGAACTCTCACAGTTGGGACCAAAGCATGTTCAAACATTGGCCATAAAGGCAGAAAACATAATTTTTTCACACAAAGTTTGCCTCTGCCTGGCACTGCTCTCTAGATTTTTAAAGCTCCTATTGGTGCCAATCACTGGACAAAAACATCCGCCTCCTCGGCTGGTTGGTGGACATTTTTGGACCAAATGTGCATTGTCATATAACTGGTTTGTATTATTCTATCAGAGCAGGATTGTACCTTTGAAAACCACACGAACATGTCAATGAACCTGCAAAATTTCAGGACTCCAACAACATTATTTCTCTAGTTGTGGCGCTTCAAACATTGCTTCTCAGATTGGTGCGAAAAAACGTATGCAAATCAGCATGACCTCAACTTCTTTAGGAATGTTTAACTCAAAAAGATACGGCACCTGTGACCAAAAATTTTACAGGTATTACTGGATAACATACGTATGCACAGACAAATATGAGATGGTCAGTCGTGAACTTTTTAAAAATTTGGTGAATTCAGGTGGAACGACCTTTTTTAAATTAGCACGTCGAAGTGAAATTGTGATTGCATTGATCTGCAACTCCAGCTTTTAGTTTGAATTTATTATAGCCGGCCATAGCATCCAAAGTTGAGACACAAAAGTGGATGTTAAACAAACTACAAAAGGTCACCAAAGGTCACAAAAGGTCAACAGGAGAGTTCAGTGATTCTGAGAATGTCACGTAAAAGGAACCAGCATCTGATTTTGAAACATTACATGCAACAGAATTGTGTTAGATGAAGTGAAATCGCTGCTACTTACCACCCACCAGTAGTAGACATCAGAGGGCAGCTGGATGTTGTCTCTGGTCCAGACAGGAGAGATGTCCGGGTCGTAGTTCTCGTCAAACCAGTCGGAGACGCCGGGGTCACCGACGCAGCGAGGGCAGGCACACGTCTTCTGCTGGGGGGCGTCGGGAGGCGACAGCCGGTGAGCGCCAGCGTAGCTCGGCACCAGCTTCACCCGCCGCGACTCCTCCCAGCCGGGCGGCTCCAGGTAGTTGAACCCGACGCCGCCTCGCAGCGACACGGACAGGAAGAGCGAGGTGAGGAAGACGAGGACCAGCGAGCCGAGAAGAACCCAGATCCTGCGGGAACACCTCACCCTGCCTCCCTTCTCCGCCCCGGAGCCTCCGCCCCCTCCCACCGCCCCGGTGCTACCTCCACCGCCCACCACCACCCCTCCGCTCATCCAGGGCCTGAGCTCGGACAGTCTGGGGGCTCCCCTGGACGGACCCCCGCTCCAGGAACCCCAGCCCCAGCGCCTGTCCCGGTGCAGGGTGGAGGACGGGATGCGGCCCCCCCACGGCCATGCTCCCACCCCTGGGCCTGCCACTGTCCCCAGCCCACCACCTTCTCCTCGCAACCACCACCGAGGCCTGGTCAGCCTGACTGGGACGACCCCCCCGACTGCCTCCCTGGACCACACAGTCTAAATCACAGCAGCAAACACACTGATGGTGTCAGAGTCAATTTGTCTCTCGGTCGAGCGGCGATGCTCCGGCGCTGCTCTTCCTTCCACTCAGGAGTTGCAGCTGAATCACACACAGCTGTAGCTTCCCAAGTCCTCTTTCGATGTGAGCCGATCTCTCCTCTCCCTCTCTCTCTCTCTCTCTCTTTTATTTCTTTCTTTCTAACTTTACAACTTTCCCTCTCTCACTTTCCCCCTCCCCGTTTCTGTTTGATTAACTGCATCCTCGGCGAAATCCAGCGGCTGGATGCAGCAGGTCTTTCTCGGTTTCTGAGTCATCTGGTGCTGAGCTCCGGCTCCGGCGCTCGCCTTTCTCTCTTTGCACTGAAGCGACGTAGCCAAAAAAATAAAAAAAGAAATCTGGCAGACTAGTGGAGAGGGAGGGAAGAAGGGAGGAGGAGGAGCAGGAGAAGAAGGGAGGAGGTCTGGCCTGAAGGGTGTTCCATCACGGCTCTAGCCATCCTTAGCAAAGGGAAAAAAAAGACTCCTTTTCTTTTCTCCTTCTCTGCACGGCTCCTCCGTCCTCTGTGGTTTCTCTTTTTTTCTACTCGTCTTTATGTCTTGCTGTTGAGGTTCACCTCGCCCAGTTTCTCTCCAATTCAAGGTTTTTTCTCTTTCACCCCTTTCAGTACATTGTCTGGCTAGTTCACCGAGGCGCTGAGAGCTGCTTTCTCTTCTCAAAGTTCTCAAAGTTGAGGACAGAAAGTTTCAATTCTTTGTGGTGAATGATGAAATCTTGAAGGAAAAAAAACAGAGATAGTGGCAGCAGAGGATTTCACGACTCTGTAAATATCAGCGCTGCAGCCGACTTGTCCGTCTCTGTTCCCACAGAGTGAAAAAAAAAAAGTAAAAAAAAAAAGATAAAATAACACTCGGGAGGAGGAGGAGGAGGAGTTTAAAGCATCAGATTGCTTGACATCCGTCCAAAAGATGAAAGATTTTCACGATGAAGATTTATCCGGCTGCACCGAGGAGGAAGGCCGAAAGTGGCGGATGGAGCGAGGCTCACGGGGCAAAAAAGAAAAAAAAGAAAAAAGAAGACAAAACCAATCAGCCCCAAATCTCATCTTCTCTCCAGCTGGCTTTGAGAGGACGTCGAGAGGAAGGGTGGGGGAAGCATCTGTCCTGCAGCCCACAGCGTGTGTGTGTGTGTGTGTGTGTGTGTGCATGTGATTTAATGTGTGTTAAGCTAGGTTCGCACACCGTCTGCCAGATGCACTAATTTAATTGTGTTGCTGCAGCTGTGCCAGCCTGTGAGTGCGCGTGGATGTGTTTGGGCACGCCCTATTGGCCGGCGGCACCGGTTTCATGAGGCTGCCGAGCTTAAGGTGACTGCTGCTTAGCTCTAATCTGCTAAACTGTAATCCGAGGGTAGGACCCCTGCAGTGCCCACTTTATGCCAACTCTCTGCCCTGCCCATGCTCATCCGATGCCCTGCAAACACCTGCTTAGCTCACCTGCGCACCGTTAAACCTTTTTTTTTTACTGCAGTCGCGGCTAGTTCTTCATGTGCACAAAACATTGCTTCCGCTATGGTTAAACAATTATTTTAAAATGTCCGTGTGTGTGTGTTTGTGCAGCAATCTGGGATTTCTGGCTGTAGAAAACCTGCAGAGACACAGAGAAAGAGACAAAATGCCATTTAGCACCATTAGCTTCACTGAGCACATTGACATCTTTAATCTTCCTCTTCGACCTTCTTCCTTTTCATTTCCTCTCCGTCTAAAGCAGCCAAGACCAGGTAAAGAATACACCATCTGTTGTTTTCTTAATGTCTAGGTTTTTGGTCTATAAAGTGTCAGAAAAAGTGGTGTCTTGCTTTGTCCACAACCCAATAATGTTCAGTTTACCATTATAAACGAGGAAAGACAATATTCACATTTAAAAGGCTGAAACCAAAGTGAAACCAAAGAAAAGAAAATCACTCGACTGATTAATTATCAAAAAAGTGGGTCTGATTTGTAGAAAGTCTGTAGAGAAAAAGATAAAAGACAAAATGCCATTTAGCACCATTAGCCTCATTGAGCACATTGACATCTTTAATCTTCCTCTTTGACCTTCTTCGTTTTCACTTCCTCTCAGTCTAAAGCAGCCAACATCAGATAAAGAATACACCATCTATTGCTGTTGATTTTCTCGAGTTTTTTGTCTATAAAATGTCGGAAAATGGCCGAGTAGCGTTTTAGATGACGTTCTCTAACGTCTTGTATTGTCCACAGCCTAAAAACATTCAGTTTACCATCGTAAACGAGTGAAGTAATTAGGAAATATTCAAATTTAAAAGGCTGAAACTAAAGAAGACTTTTTCTTTCTTTAAAAAAAAAAAAATCACCCAACTGATTAATTATCAGAACAGTCTGATTTGTCGAAAACCTGCAAAGACACACAGAGAAAGAGATAAAAGCTATTTAGCACCATTAGCCTCACTGAGCACATTGACATCTTTAATCTTCCTCTTCGATCCTCTTCATTTTCTTTTCCTTTCAGTCTAAAGCAGCCAAGACCAGGTAAAGAATACACCATTTGCTGCTTTTGATTTTCTCAAGTTATGATTAGTTTCATCAATAAAATGTGACAAAATAGTCGAGTAGCATCTTGCTTCGTCCACAACCCAATAACATTCAGTTTACCGTCATAAACGAGGCAAGAAACTAGAAAAGATTCAAATTTAAGAGGCTGAAGCCAAAGAAGACTTTTTCTTTCTTCACTCAACTGATTAATTATCAAAAAGTGGGTCTGATTCGTAGAAAGTCTGCAGAGAAAAAGATAAAAGACAAAATGCCATTTAGCACCATTAGCCTCATTGAGCACATTGACATCTTTAATCTTCCTCTTCGACCCTCTTCTCTTTNGTGTGTGTGTGTTTGTGCAGCAATCTGGGATTTCTGGCTGTAGAAAACCTGCAGAGACACAGAGAAAGAGACAAAATGCCATTTAGCACCATTAGCTTCACTGAGCACATTGACATCTTTAATCTTCCTCTTCGACCTTCTTCCTTTTCATTTCCTCTCCGTCTAAAGCAGCCAAGACCAGGTAAAGAATACACCATCTGTTGTTTTCTAATGTTTTTTGGTCTATAAAGTGTCAGAAAAAGTAGTGTCTTGCTTTGTCCACAACCCAATAACGTTCAGTTTACCATCATAAACGAGGAAAGACAATATTCACATTTAAGAGGCTGAAACCAAAGAAAAGAAAATCACTCGACTGATTAATTATCAAAAAAGTGGGTCTGATTTGTAGAAAGTCTGTAGAGAAAAAGATAAAAGACAAAATGCCATTTAGCACCATTAGCCTCATTGAGCACATTGACATCTTTAATCTTCCTCTTTGACCTTCTTCGTTTTCACTTCCTCTCAGTCTAAAGCAGCCAACATCAGATAAAGAATACACCATCTATTGCTGTTGATTTTCTCGAGTTTTTTGTCTATAAAATGTCGGAAAATGGCCGAGTAGCGTTTTAGATGACGTTCTCAAACGTCTTGCTTTGTCCACAACCCAAAAACATTCAGTTTACCATCATAACCGAGTGAAGAAATTAGGAAATAGTCAAATTTAAAAGGCTGAAACCAAAGAAGACTTTTTCTTTCTTTAAAAAAAAAAAATCACCCAACTGATTAATTATCAGAACAGTCTGATTTGTCGAAAAGCTGCAAAGACACACAGAGAAAGAGATAAAAGCTATTTAGCACCATTAGCCTCACTGAGCACATTGACATTTTTAATCTTCCTCTTCGATCCTCTTCATTTTCTTTTCCTTTCAGTCTAAAGCAGCCAAGACCAGGTAAAGAATACACCATTTGTTGCTTTTGATTTTCTCGATTTATGATTAGTTTCATCAATAAAATGTGAGACAATAGTCGAGTAGCGTCTTGCTTTGTCCACGACCCAATGACGTTCAGTTTACCGTCATAAACGAGGCAAGAAACTAGAAAAGATTCACATTTAAGAGGCTGAAGCCAAAGAAGACTTTTTCTTTCTTCACTCAACTGATTAATTATCAAAAAGTGGGTCTGATTCGTAGAAAGTCTGTAGAGAAAAAGATAAAAGACAAAATGCCATTTAGCACCATTAGCCTCATTGAGCACATTGACATCTTTAATCTTCCTCTTCGACCCTCTTCTCTTTCATTTCCTCTCCGTCTAAACCGGCTCTCCTCCAGCAAAGATCACGTTAAAAAAGACACCATGTGTTGCTGTTTCTCTGTCTCGTGTGTTTTAATTTCGGATTCATTTGTTGAGTATTTTCTTGATTGCTAAATATGTTTTGGTTCATAAAAGGTCAGAAAAAGGTGAAAAATGTGGATTAGTGTTTCCCAACGGAAACGAGATGTTCAAAAGGTTCAGTTCATAAACAAGCAAAGAAACCAGAAAACGTTCCATTTAGGAATAATTTAAGATTTCATTTGCAAAAACAGAAAACTCCATTTTTGTAGATTTTTTTTTAGAAAACTTGTTTTTTTGTTGTTTGCTTGAGATAATATCAGTCAAACTGAAGTTGAGTGGATTTGACTCAGTAGAAATGACAAAAATAGAGATAACTAAAGTTTGATATTGTCTCAGGTAGACGATGGAAAAGTGAATTTTCTGAATGTTTGTGAAGTTCAAGTTGTCTGCTTTTGCAAATGAACTCTTCAGTTCTAAACCAGCTCTCCTCAAGCCAACATCAGGTGAAGAATAAACCATCTGTTGCTGTTGATTTTCCTGATTTATGACTAGTTTTTTGTCTATAAAATGTCAGATAACGATCGAGTCGTGTTTCCTAACAGCCAAGAAGACGCCGTGTTTTCTCCACAACCTGAAAACGTTCAGTTCAATGTCAAAAAAGAACCAGAAAATATTCAAATTTAAGAAGCTACAACCAAGGTAGACTTTTTCTTTCTTTAACAAAAATCACTCAGACTGATAAATTATCAAAATAGTCGGTCTGATTTGCTAGAAAACCTGCAAAGAAAAAGACAAAATGCCATTTGGTGCCATTAGCCTCATTGACATCTTTAATCTTCCTCTTTGACCTTCTTCTTTTATTTCCTCTCTGATTTCTAAACCAGTATTTCTTCGCAGGTTTTTCTCTCTTTCTGCTTTTCCACCTTTTCCGTTTTTATTATTAATATTTTACACGTGTCTCGCTGCTCTTTTCGTCCATCTCGCTCAGTTTGTCTCTCAGACCGTCCATCACAGGGGATAAAAGGAGGAACATGGGTGTAAAAAAAACCCCCCAAAAAACAAAAAAAAAACTCCTGGTCTCTCCTGTTTGTGTGTCTGTGTGTGTTGATTGGTGCTGAATAAATTTCAAAATGTCACTCCGCTGAATTGGAAATGCTGAAGCAGACTGACAGCATACAGATTGGAGGAGCCGGGGCAGAATACTAAGCAGAGAAACAGACTCCACATACAAACTGCTGTCATATCTGCTGTCTGCTGTGTTTATTGCTGCAGCACCGGATCATCATGCATCCTGTCAGGTTGCAGAATTCTGCAGCGATTTTTTCCCCCCCAGTTTGGACGACTGAGAGACTAATTAAGACATAATGTCAGGTTGTTTTGACACATTGCATTCGTGTCAGAAAATGAAAAACACAATAGAGTGTTGTCAGGTTTTTTTTTTTGCTGCTGAACTTGGAACATTAGTTAAAGAAAAAAATTAAATTTAGAACTTGGATGTTTATTCATCCTGTTAGAAGAAGAAGAAGGAGGCTGTATGAGGAAATATGACTTAAACTCCCTTATGTCATCAGCTCAACAAAAAGATTAGTGACTGAATAATCACTGCGTGGGATTTTGGTGAAGCTTTTAGACTCTTGAGTAGATTCTTGCTGTAAACAGATAAAAAAATTTGAATAAACACACTCGACTGGTGCCTCAAATGAGCCATTTAAATTCAGGAAAAATACAAATCGAAGGGAGAAAAAAAACCACGAGGGAAAACAGAGAGGTGGTGAACATCATGCTAAGGAACACGCCATCTGTTGCTTCGCTGCTCTTTTGTCTTGTGTGTTTTCATCGTCCATTAATCTGTCCGTGAACTGATGAGGTGCTTGGTTTATAAAATGTCAGAAAGTGGTGAAAAATGTATGATTAATGCCTCCCAAAGCCCAAGATGACGTCCAGATAGCCCAAAGACGTTCAGTTTAGTGTCAAAATATTCACATTTAAGAGAGACAATTTAGACTTTTGATGTCTTTAAAAAATTAAAAACTGATTAATTGATTATTAGAGTAGCTGGTTATAAATTAAAAAGCTAGCATTAAATATCTAATAACTGATTGATTAAGTCTTGTCTGCTACTGTTAAGTAATTAATGCTGCTGCATCCTGTAGTGCGCTGCTATACTGTCATAATCATTTTTTGTTGCATGATCTATTTTTCAAGAAAGCATTTTTTATTGTCCTTTTAAGACCTTTAAATATGATGATATAATGGTAATAAAATAGTATAATAATGTGAGTGACTCTTTCAAAGAACAATGAATGTTTAATTCTTAAAAATATTCCAAAAAGTAACCAAATATTGTAAACAAATAAAACTGCACAATCAAAACCAGGAGTCGACTGTTATGGTGTGTATGTGGCTGATATCGATGCCAATTATTGCTAATCAATATGATCAATGATCCGTGTTTAGAACTGATATACGTTTGCAGTAAAATTGAAAACTTTCAAAACTCCAACATGAAACTCTGTTGAAATGTGTTTTTATTATTTAGGTTTTATGTTTGTTAGAAGAAAACTTTGCAGCGTCAGTGCTGATTGGCTGTTACATCAACCAATCAGATTGAGCTGTGGGCGGGACATTGGTGACTGCGGATGGGGAGAGGTGGGAAGTGGCAGCACTAAAGCCAAGGTAGCACAATTTTAAATTAATTTTTTTTTTAAAAATCAGAAATCTTTTTTTTTTTTTAAAGATTACAGTACAAAAAGGAAATCACACTATCAGATCTGATAACTGGCAAAAATCCATTGACCCCTAAATAAAAAAGTTAAAAAAAAAATGGACACGTGGGCTTTGATTTTGAAAATTGTACTTATATACTTCACCTTAAATACCTCCTATATTTATAGGAAGGGGGGAAGACACTCTGGCTTATTTACATTTCTTTAAACCAATCACAGTTGTTGAAGCGAAAATACTGACAAATGAATAGTTTGCATGCAGAGAGATGTGAACAAAATTGACAATTCAATGCAAAAAAAAGCTAGCATTGCTGCATTACTACATAATCAAAACTTTTCAGCGTAGTTGGTTGTTGCTGTTGTTGTTGTTGTTGTTGTTGTTGTTGGCTTCTGTCACAAAAAAACTGCAACACACAGACAGCAGAAAGACAAAGCTGGCTGAAATGAACAGCAGCTTATTCCTGCATCCTGCGAGTCAGACAACACATTTACAGAGCCGAGGGGGTGCACGAACACCTGAGCCCAGAGCCAACAGCTGGCGGATCACCGAATCTGAATGAAAACTGTGCTGGATCAGAACCGCTGACTTCACCTTTATCACTCAACATACTGCCAAACCAGACTGTCAGTGGTGAAAACTTCAGTTAACAAAAAAGTGCAAAACTTTCCTTCACCTGGTCCACCGTGTGCATGTGTACCTGTGTGTGTGTGTGTGTGTGTGTGTGTGTGTGTGTGTGTGCGTATTAGCCCCGCCCACAGAGAAACTCCTGCACGCAGAGGACAGAAACAGCCCGAGGCGTCTGCACCCCAGACTTACAGCAAGTAGTGAAAATCCTGCTGTTTATTCAGGCGTCGCGTCGACTAAACTGTTGGTGACAGTCGCGTGTAAACAAATGCACATGTTCAAACCAACGGGGCAACGTGGAGGTCAGAAAAAAACAGTAAGAGGAGTCTTTTCTTTGTTTTTGGAGAGATAATCAGACAAAACATTCGCATATACTCATCCTTTGG